TACGCTTCATATCGAGGGTTTTGCCACCTGCTTGCCCTGATACACATGCCTTTCCAGAAAGATGAAGATGCTAAGGGATATTACTGCTACATTAGACTTCCTTCATATTTTGCGACTAAGGGAACACGGCGATTCGAAAGACCGCGATACAAGGGAAGTATAGGTATTGATCTGGCGATTGGCAATACAGAATTTTGGAGACTGAGCGATCCGGCGATGGGACACTCCGCGTCTGGGACGACAACACGCCAGGGAAAGGATGGGTATGGACCGGTGCCGGATCGCCGAATCTCCACGAATTTGCCTGTGTGCTGTTGCCCTTCTCTGTGACTGGTCACTAATAGTTGCGTCAAACCCCCTCCCCTACGCCTTATCATTTTTTACCATTTCCTATGGTTGCTGTAACTCACGTCGTGAATCTGAAGGCTTCCCTCCTAAGCCTCTTATCAGATCCTAACAGCTGTTATCATTTCCTGCCCTCCATCAGAAGTGTTCTCGTCATTCTCCGTATATCTCTTGGGAATTACGTCCCACCGTCCTGCGACCTGCACCATGAACTTGATGACAGGCAGACGGACGCACATACAAACACTTGAAGACATACTCAGCAGATCATATATAGCAGGACAGATCCCTCGTGTGTAAGATCAAAAAAACTCACGCGAAAGTAAGCGAGGTAACATTTGCTTCATTCGGGAAGAAGGTGCGCCTTATACCCCAAAAGAACGGGGAAGTATTGCTCCCGCAAATCAGTCTGCTAATACGATCTAGGCAAAAATAAATCGTTAACTCCACGAAGACAACATTCCATAACAGTCTATGGAAGTTGTTCCGTAAAATTTGCAAGTAGAAAAGCAGAATTTAAATGCGGTCGTAGTGCTGCTCGTGTTACAGCATTACATTACATTACAAGATTACCGCCGCTTATTATAGAATTTTTTTGAAAGAATGAATGATTGATATCAACTTAGAAAGGTAGTACGAACCTCACTCATGTCTTCTATTTCATCTTTTGCTTCGTTTTGCTGTCGCCTGTGCTCAAGTAATAAGAACACTTCCGAAGTGAGAAGTGCATCGCAATTTTGGGATTCAAATTCTGGAACAATGACAATAAGTTTTTTGTAAGGTGTTGACAGATTTTTGTCCTAGGCCCGGTTTCACATTGTTATGCTATATAATTTACCTTTAGGAAAACGCATTTCCGTAGCATCCTCCTCAACAGTGTCCTCAGCAGTTTTCATCGCAGAAGACATGTTACCTGAAAAGCATAATATAAGAAAAACCATTTCCTCAAATAAGTAAGGTATCTCAATGTGTAAACTAGAGGTGTCGAAATTAGAGAGCAACGAAAATTTTCAAATAGCAACTCCCTGTTAGCCGGCAGCGAGCGGTCGCGTCGCGGCTTTCACAGTGGAGCTCATTATTCGGTCTTGATGGTAAGTGCAGAAAGTGGTCGCTTCAGAGCCACATTGTTCCAAAAGTTCGTTGAGACAGTCTTACGCCCATTGTGTGACTGAAGGAGTCACCTGTCGTTTAGGACACTCTTGACTCAAGGTGGAGTTTTTACATTTCACGCTACTTAGGAGCCCTTTACTGGGTCCCTATCCCTCCCTTACATGTTTACCCATCTCCACCTCCCTGATTCTTTTCTTCGCGCGTCTTCTTGGAATCCTTTTCAACCCACCCAGTCTTCTGAGTCGGTCCGATGTAGGAGCGAACCTGAACCCTAGAAAAAAACAAAAATCTCGAGTCACATCGAACTGCTTATCGTACATTAATGAATAACGGAAAGATTTTCACCTTCCCCTCCACGCGAGAAAGTCCTCGATGACCGAGCCGTGTTGTATAATTATCAACCAGTTTGCTTTATTAGACTGGCTGACCTATCTGGGTTGTCACCGCAGGGCATTCCCCTATACTGTTCGTGAAGAAGATTGATAGCTGTTTTATGGGCTCATCTGCCGAAGCATCGAAAGGGGGCTCAAACATGTAGTGAGTCAGGACATGGGCTGGGTGAGGGGGTGAGTCACATAGCATGGGTGAAAAGTTGAAATGTGCTAGGTCCGCAGCGGTCACGAACGCCACGCAGAAGAGAGAGCGCAGAGAAAAACAGAAACTCGGCACGACTAAAGGGCTTGAGTCCAAGCAGTCCGTAGAACATCCCAGAGTTGTTGCCGACCTAGAGGCACGTTCGGCTGCGCCTCCAGCATCAACTAAACGGTTATCATCCCTTGCCGGTGGCTGGCAATCATGACACCTGTCATCGAATTAACTTTTATCTTTCAGAGAACATGGCGTTCACTGAGCAAGCTTGGTACCTTATAGTGATCAGAAACTAACCCGCGTTATTTTACCTCCTGAGTTTTAGGAAGGTTCCGTTATGAACACTATGAAGGGGAGTGTGGGATGGTTGTCGGTCTAATCACGACTGCAGCAAGCAGGAGAGTTCTATGGTTACCAAGGAAAGTCCGATTCGCCAACGGGAAGCAGCAGGCAGCTACCAGCCGACGTACGAGCTTACGAAGCTGTGCAGGGAGCGATAAAAGAAGACCTTGAGGTGAGAAGAGCAGCAGCCCAGGTAGAAGCAGCAGAGGCTGGGAAGAGCAACTGCAATGCCCGCTAAGACTTTGCTAACGGCAAGACAGAGATGATCGGTCCCCCGATCTCTTTGACTGTCATGTGCGGATGCCATGTACCGCTTGAAGGAAAATGGCTACACCGCTCCTTGAGTTCACTCTACTGAAGTTCAACATGCCATCTCGTCGGTGAAGAATCGTACGGCACCCGGTCCCGACAGGATCAGACCCGAACATCTGAAGAATCTTCCGCCAGTTCTCGTCAAAACTCTGGCTCGACTCTTCACGCGCTACCTGTCGGAATACAAGGTGCACTTCGCGGAAAACCAGCAAGACTGTGTTGCTGTACAAGAAGGGAGACCTGTACGACATTGGCAATTATCGCCCAATCTGCCTGCTGTCTGTAGTCTACAAACTCTTCACACGAGTCATCCTGAACAGGATTGGCAGAACACTAGACGAAGGACAGCCATGCGAGCAAGCAGGGTTTCGAAGAGGATTCAGCACGATCGATCACATCCACACGGTAACGAAGCTCATCGAAGTATCGCGAGAGTACAAGATGCCGCTATGTCTCACGTTCATCGACTTGAAGAAAGCCTTCGACTCCGTTGAGACAGAAGCGGTTATCGAAGCCCTGGGCAACCAGGGTATTCCTACTCAGTACATCAGGATTCTTCGTGAGCTCTACAGCAACTTCACGACCAGGATCTCACCATTCTACAAGGAGATCATCGAGATCGTGAAGAGAGGGGTCCGACAGGGCGACACCATCTCGCCCAAGCTCTTCAGCGCCTCTCTCGAGAACGTCATGCGTCAACTGGAATGGGAAGACATGGGAGTGAAGATCGTCGGCAACTACACCATCTCCGCTTTGCTGACGACATCGTTTTGAACACCAAACATCGAGCAAGCGGAGCGAATGCTGACTGATTTCGAATGCGCTTGTGGTAAAATTGATCTGAACTGATGGTGAGTCAGAGGAAGTCGATGTTCATGTGGAACGGACTTGTCCCTGATGCCCTATACTCGCTCAGTGTAACGAACATCTCTGAATGCGTTAGCTCTGGTTCGCTGAGAATGGGGCGTAGCAGGAATGGATTTGGGGCGGCGTCAAACCCGTTTTCGACCAGTTATTAGAGTGGGAAAGCACCGCAAGACTGTGTCATGTTGAAATCAGTCGTTTACTTGCTTCAGCAGCTGGCGGAAAGCGGACTTGGCACCGCGCAAGGCACGGTACTGACACGATCTGTTGTCCGCAGCTAGCCAGGCACACACCTTATCCCTGAGGCGGGAATAGGTGCATATTTAAGCGATTCGACTGTATACCGTGTCCACGTCGACTCTCCATCAATCCCTATTTTAGAAACAATTGTCTTAATCCTATTTCAAATCATATGGTGTCAAGCAGTCTATGAAACGACATCGTAAACAGGGCCTTATTAGGAGATGCCGCTTTCAGCTGGCACCCTGAGCTTGAGGAATGATGTGAGCGCGGCACTAAACGAACGCAACACTAAAAAAGAGATTAAACGTCAGCACATTAGGCTATTCACATTAGATCGCCGCAACACAGACCTCTGAAAGCAGAGGAGAACGTGTCTAGCTCCTATCAACATTTTGAGATGAGCGCCGACTTTGACTTATATAGTTAGGTGACTAGCAACAGCTTGAGCAGCTACCATCTTATCAACATAAGCTTTTGACCATCTCATACAAGTCTCATACTCACTGAAAATGGGTCACTAGAAAGGAATGGTCCGATAGGGGCACGTCTTGCTAAAGTTTCGCAATATACGATCTCCCACAACATTTCCTCCACAATGTACTAAAACTTCACCAAAACCCTCCGATTTCCACCTGCCTTTTTTCGAAAAAACTGATCGCAGACGTAAGATCGGAGGTGAGGGGAGGGGGGGACACACAGAGAGCATGTGGGAAACGAGAAAAAGCGAAGAAAATCAACAATCAATCGCGAAAACATCCTCCACAAAGGCAAGTACAACCCGACTTCCCCTCTTCCCCCTTCAGCGACCAGATACGGCCAATTTTCCCGTTAAACTGCAAACTACGACGTGCCCAGGGTTCGATCTCATCGGCGAGCTGTATGCGCAACCACTTTAGTCACTTCATTCGCGCGCAAAATAGCTCGCATTACTTGGAACACGTGATGTGCGAGTGTCCGACTGGGCACAATAAAAGGTTTGGCGGTTGAGGTTACTTGACTCAATGGCTTCAGTGAGGAAGGAAATATTACCACTACGGTTGTTCACTCTCATGAAACTGGGGAGACGCTATCTTCAATTTCGCTGTCCAGAAATAAGAGTTTGCTGACTAAAATTTGAGAGACAAGGAGAGCAGAAATTGTACGATCTTTCCTGGCCAGTCGTGTTCTTCTATCCTGTAATAAAGGATTGAGTGGCATTGTGCAAATTCATCCTTTCTATGAGACCGAGTCCAGCAGCGGATGTGTCACTGAGTATCTGTGAAGGGGACTACTAAAGTGGTTGCGCATGCAGCTCGCCGGTGAGATCGGACCCAAGGCACTCATCTTTCGGTTTCCCGGCGTGATTGCCCGTATCTGGCCACAGGAAGGGGAAGAGAGGAGGTCAGGGTAGTAATTGTCTCTGTGAAGGATGTTTTCAACGTCGACTTTCCTCAGATTTTCTGTTTCTCATGTACGTTCTATATCACCTTAGCCCCATCCGTTCTCTCCCTCCCCCCCCCCTTCTCACCCCACACTCCCCGCTCGCAACAGTCTGCAGTTTTTTTTAGAAAAAAGCTGGTGAACATAGGTGGAAAATTGGAAGATTGTAGGGAGGTTTTGGGTAGGATAGGGGGTAGGGAAATGGGGGGGGGGAGGAAATGTGAAGGGAGACAGTATTTTGCGATATTTCGGCAGGACGTGCCCCATCGGACCATTCCTTTCTAGTGACCCGTTTTCAGTGAGTATGAGACTTGTATGAGATGGTCAATAGCTTGTGTTGATAAGGTGGTAGGCTGCTCAAGCTGTTGGTAGTCATCTAACTATCATGTATCACCTGTGCTCCCGTTGATCATCGAGTTCCTCGAGCGGGCGCCAGTAACGTCTCCATTCGTCCCTGCAACGTGCAAGAGTTGCCCAATGTACTCTCTCTCTCTCTCTCTCTTCTCCTCTCTCTCTCTCTCTCTCTCTCTCTCTCTCTCTCTCTCTCTCTCTGCTCGCGGGACACGATGAACGGTGAGTCGCTGATCGCTTTGGTCCGCGGTCGTCCTCGAAGCGCATGAAGTGCCCGGCCCACTGACCTTAGAATCCTTGGCAAATACGGCGGCGTCTCTGATCTTCGATCGTCTGCGGAGTGCGGAGCTCCGGATTCCCTCTCTCACTTGCGTGTAGCGGGAAACTCCGAGCATCGCCCTTTCGATGGCGCGTTGAATAACGCCAACCGCATGCTCATCCTGCTGTAGAGTCCAAGTCTCTGAGGCGTACGTCAAGGCAGGAAGGACCGCGGAATCGAAGAGGTGGGCACGGAGCTTGGTGTTCTTCGTCTTCTTCGCTACTCCCTCGATGTTCTTGAAGGCTCCCCAAGCCGCTCGCTTCCTCCTGCTCAGCTCTGGAGCTAAGTCATTCATCATATTGATTTCACGACCCAGGTACACATAGCTAGAGCATTCAGAGATGGTCGTTCCGTTGAGCG